AGACGACTTTTGCAGTTCATGCTAAAAAGAGAAAGAGAACTTAACAAGTTCTTACCTCTTGTGCAAGATATCAGTCTAAGTAATATTATTTTATCAAATTTTCCAAAAATTTTGGAAAACCGTGCCTTCTATTCTTCCCTAGGAACTATAGACTTAAATTGTACACCGATGAAACCCTTAGTTGGATATATACGATCTCTGAATACCTTAAAACAATGTACGATGATTTACAGATGGCTAGCCTTAGCAGAACTGAAATACTTAAAAAATCGTATGCTTACAGATGTGATACGTGAAATACTTATTAGAATACTGATCTCTTAGCCTCATTATATCCAAAAATGTAACTTTAGAAATGAATACCTAATTGCAACGCAGCTGTGGTAAGTTCTCATCATTATATAATCATGTCGGAACAGATTAATCTTATAATGATAGCGTAAGTAGTAAAACATGAGTCTATAAACGATATATTGGAATCCTGGTAGACTTGCTTAATCTTGATCTAACCTCCCTTATTCGCCATTGTAGAAGACTTAAACTAATCTAAAGTATTCATTATTGTAATAACTTTGAATATATAATACATTTGACTTCGTTAAGCAAAATAGATCATACGCAAGATAGATCAGGCTACGAATGACTGAAATTAATGTAAAATTTGAAAAAAAATCGATTCTTTCAAGGAAATTGACATATTATTCTCTAGGCATACTGCGTTTGCAAAAGCTTCAATGTTCTCTACTTCTGTAACCATTTTAAATATAATTAAAAATATTGTTGTGGTTAAAAATAGTTTATTACAATTCCACTAAATTTATATTCCGAAGATTAAGTTAATTAGTGAGGCTTGTTAACGTTGGCGGTTTGTCCATGTGCAGGTCCTTGAAGCAGTTAAAACAACACATCTGCTGAACGCTTCAAGTAAAATGACAATAAAATGAGCACAGCTTAATGCGATATAAAAATCCTAATACTTGCAGTTGAACTATAAATACGTAACACAAAAGAAGAGGCGAAATTCTGCATTCTACTAAATTCCTACTCCAAGACAGTATTCCTTTGTAGTCGCATCATAACTCAACAAAATCGCTTAAGATTTTTTTTAATGCAATTTGAAGTTCATAACAAAGTATGAAATTATATGTACATGAGAAGAAAAAAAATGAAAAGTATAGCCACCACACGAACAACCATGTAGAAGCTTCCCGATCTGTTCTGAATTAATGTCTACTGCAGTCGCAAACATCAATCACTACACTAAATTAAACAGTTCGTCATATATACTCGCACATCTGAAGACTCATAATCATATCCATGGCACATCAACAGCAGCACAAAGTCAACACAACAAAGATTATTTCAATGTTCACATTTCACATTTTCTTATAGTAAATCCATTAAATTGTCTCACCAAACAAGTGCCGAGTCGACTGAGCCAGGCAAAAGGGGTCCAGATACGTAAACATAAAAGTATTGGAAACTTTTTAACAACAAAAAGAAGAAGCAAAAAATACAAATAAAAAAATTATAAAAAGGAAAATATTAACAATTCCCGCCATTAAATAAATGCTAACTACATAAGAAATAAACAAATCGAGTCAAGGAATTTCCGAAAAAAAACCTCTAATAAAAAATGGAAAATGGAATTTTAAAGCAGAAAAGTTCGAAAATAGTTTGTTTTTGTTTATTTTGATGAAACATAAAAACACATAATTTTAGTAAACCAAATATACAAAATCTATTCTGTTTTATTCTTTATGGACTACAATTTAATTTACTTACAAATTTTAAAAGGCTTACGTATGTACGCTGGTGTGCAGAGATGAAGACTTCATCTAATTGATATCTATAGAATAGAACTAGTAAAGTGGAGTGCACTACTACTACTGCTATGTGTTCCAGTGATTTTTACATATCAAGTATTAAGATGTCACTTTTAATGCATTGCACCATTGAAGAATAACATCAATTGTTGTTATAAAATTTAATAGAAAAGCTCAAAAACATTGGACTATAATCATAATGTGTTAATTTGCACAAACAAATCAGGAGTATCGGAATATAATCCTAAGGGTAGAAATCCTAAGGGTAGTTTACACGGCTTATTGTGAATATACTTGGTCTAGTAACTATAGTTTACAGTGAGATTTCCTCTCTTCTAGCCAATTTTTAAAAGTATCTTTCTTTTATAACGAATACTGTCAATTTTCCACGGGGTTATTAATAAAGATTAATAATTATAACATATGACGCTGCTTCACCTGTTACAATATAAATAAAATTAGCACTTTTATGAAGCATTTTTTCTTAAATTTTTATATTCTTTTGTTTTAATGTATTTAAATAAAGTACAAAAGTTTAAATTAACAACTAGTCATGTCGACTAACAAAAGGTTTTTTTAATATAATATTACAAGTAATGTTACTTATCAAAAATGACCATATAGATCTAAGCTAGTCATCTCCTTGCTGCTTTAAACGCCTCAAAAGGTCCTTTGGTTTGAAGCGACTCCGAAAGTAACGCCGGAATAGTGCTGTTTAAGTGTTGACTCAGTTTGTCATAATGATTTTCGGCAGTCTGCTGTATTTCTTTTTACAGAATCGTGACGTTTTTAAGGTCACGATGTAGATCAGCATTTCGCACATACCACGCAGCGTTAACTGAATCCCTAAGTGTTTGGTACTTTTGTACGATATATATTATATGATTTTTGGCACAACCTCAAATTTGGATGCCATAGAGCCATATAGTCTTGAAGACCTGTTCGTATATCATAAGTTTATTTTGCTGAGATACAATAGATCTCCTTTCAATAAGCCAAGTTAAATTTGTGGATCTAAAAGAATTTACATTTTGAATAATAAATATTTTTTATATAAATATAAAGAGTTTATCTCTTGCACTTTTGATAATGATTTTTCAAAAACCTTCTGCCATAGAGTCCAGAACTTGAAAATTCATAACCCATCGTTATAAATATTTGCAATCGATGCAGATATAGGTTTTTTACTGATAATATTGGAGTTATTGCTGCATACTAAACATCCATCAATACCCGTGTAATTATTATCATTATTATATGAGTGAAGGAATAAAGCATATATCATGACCCCAGTGTCATTCAAAAAATGACGCCAAATAATCACCATGACGGTGTGTATTTTTCAGAAGGCAATAAAATAGCATGGACGCCAATGATATTCTCCCTAAGGTTACAGTTTTACATTATCAACAAGTTTGTTTAATTGCAAACTAAATCACATCTTATAAATAAATTATATTTTACTTGTACCAAAGAATTAATATTGATTGCATTTCATTAATTTTAGTTACTTCTAGTTCTTGCTATTTTTAAAAGATTTTATATCCTTTATTTACTCAAGTAAAACAAGGAGAATAGTCAGTATTTCTTACAACTTACCTTTTAGTTATATCTTCTCTGCCACGATATAAACGATAAAATAATTGATTCATTAAAAGATTATCACTGTGCTTTCCTGTAAAAAAGCAACTATACTTAAAATTGAGTGATGAGAAACGATCTGGCATACAATTGTGGGACATTAGTGAAGTGTGGGATTATTTCTAATATTCCTTATATTATTTGCAGATCTGATATTTGGTTAGATATTGTTATTAAAACTCAAAAATGATTATAATCCGTATAAGAACTTTTTAAAAAAAATATAGAATCGTTTTAAAGATGAATGTAAACTATAATATTATCTATACATTATAGATAATATATATTATAAGTATAAGTATAGACTTATAATATAATATAATATATACATTATAAGTGAAACTATTTGTTGTCAATAAACAGTTGTAAAATATAATAAATGAAACAAAAAAATTGGTTAGATTAGCCGTATGAGAAATAATAGTAGCATTAGTAGTCACTATGTGCCAATTGCTATACTTATCTTCTTCGAAATGAATTTAGTTCATGGATTTCGCAACCTTACGAATTGTGATGCTGTCAGAAACTGATGTTTATTAAGTGGTTATTGCCCAGAGATTATAGAATCTTACTATTGCGAAAGATCCATAGTTACACATATTCTAATAATATATACGTTCTTAAGACATATGTTCTAATAAGCAACATCTAACCAATATCAACATCGATTTCTTACTTCTTTTGCGCAGCAAGAAGGAATATTCTTTAGTTAAAATATAACTGCGAATATATCGATTTTTTATACCCTTTACATGAAAATGTGTGACATAGTCATAGTTAGTTAGTTAGTGACATAGTCAGTTTTTTTGTAAATTTTTGTGATGCTTGAAGGAAACGTATTAGACCTCATACATTATATATTTTTTTATAGCTAAATAATTAAAGTAATTAAGTTTGCGTGATATTTTTAAAAATAATTTTCTTTTTATCTTATGCTGAAAACTATTTTCATGTATATAAAAATAAAATTTTATAAAAATATGTATTTCTCGTTATGTGTCAGCTTTCCTGACTTATTGACTTCAAGTAGATGTCCTATCTGTGTAATTGCATTTCTGAATCTCTTGTTATAACATCACGAATTTTGAAATAAAAAGAGAGAAATTTGCTATTTTTAATAAATAAATAAAATTTATTTTATGATGGAATATATATAGAATAAATATACAAAATAAATAAAATTAATGCTATTATACACTTTATATAATAATAATATAATTTGTTTATATAAAGTTATTTAAATAAAATACATAGTTTTATTTTTAATACAGACTTCTAACCATCCATCCGTCCACCTAACAACATCATTTAATAAATAATATTAAATCATATTTTTAATTTATTAATCTAATTTTAATTTTATTTATACTTAATTAAATGTAATTATTATATTTACTTTTTACTTTTAATTTAATTTGTTACAGAAATGTTTAATAAATTAATGAATAAATGCAAAAGCAAGCAAATCGATAGGATTCACTTTCAAACGTGATTAAATGCAGTTCTTTTACGATATAAGCTTAAAATTGCAACTAATATCGTAAATGTGAAATAGTGTTTTTGAATCATTAAATATGTATGTATTTATTGTAAGATTTATAAGTGATGACGTGATATGCTCTCTCTTATATTACATTTCTATTAATTTTTCGGGAACAGATATAAATTTTATCAGTTTTAAAGCAAAGCAATTATGTATGTTTTATGCATTTGAACTCATTTTTACTTTGTTTCTTTGAATTCATTTTTTACTACTTTCCTCAGTATCAATATTCTAGCAACATATTGTTGAGATTCTTTTTCCTTTTATTTTATGTTTTAGAATTATATTTTCTCATTTCTCAAATGCAAAGACTGTAGCTTTCAACACTTTGTAATACCATAAAAATATGTGTATATTTATGAGTATAAACTTGTCAATATGTATTTCAATGCAGTTCAGCAAGTTTGTAGCTTTCAGCCACTTTCTCAATGAAAACATTTTCCTCGTTGCCCACATAAAACCGAAACCGGCAAAAGAAATTATGGTCAAAGCGCAGACACTTGCTATTAAGCCTTCTGTTGACGCTTTTGACGCTCTGGACGCTGTGGATGCTGTGGACGCTGGACCGCTTTTTAATGCTTCGTCGCATTGCTAAAGCAATAAATCGCCTTTGAAAATAATGTTCGACTGTAAATATCAAAAGGAAAAATTATATGGAAACAAAATATATACTTAATGTTAAACTAAAACATAAAGTGGTTCATAAAATATATTTTTAATGCATTTATGCAGGCATTTTATGTTCTGTATAAAAGTTGCTAAATATCTGGAAAAAAGTGCTGAGAAGTAAATTTGAAATTTTGCTTTAAATATGCGTAATTTAAAATTAAATCAATTACCTAATAAATTGTATTCCTGTTATAGAACTTAAGTAATTTTTGGGTTTTAGTCATGGAACTATAAGTTGTAGTCAACATGATGTTTTATACTACAAGGATAATAAATTAATGTTTAAATTATTTTATTCTAAAATTTATAAATCAAATCAAATTAATGACCTAATTCTGATTAATCCGGACATTACCATTTTACAACGGATTTTAATTAATTGATTAATTTTGAAAAATTCTTTCCCTTCCCCTACATGTATGTCAATAGAGTCTAGTTTGTGCTCAAAAGTTGAAAAAACTTTTCAGTTGAAAAACATTAAATTAAGTAATCAGCGTGAAAATTGCATATACTAGTTTGTTTTATTGTTACTAATTTTACTTTAATAATACATATAATGGTGTCTCAATTATAGGTTCAGTTGCTGTTGAAATTACCTTAATTGAAATGAAGTTTTCTTTATAATTAAAACCAGGAAACAATATTTATACACGCTTATACATTGGTAATATAATAATATCATTTAATAAAATGTATCATTTTAAAAACATTTTATTTTGCATTTTAATTAAAAGTAGACTTACTACAGAAATGCTACTATGAAGCATAATCAACACATTACTATGACATATCAATTATTTAATGAAAGGACAGAGTATCTTCCTACAAAATGCTGCGCTTTCTACCATTTAAGGAATATCCTCAAGCGGTTATTATACAAAATGTATAAAAATAATGACACCTTTTAAATGATGGTTTCATTTAATCGTATAATGGCCTAGGAGGATTTCCTAGATATTAAAACCATTATTATAGCTTCTTTCAAATCAAATGTCAGTAGGACTTCTACAGTTAAAAATAAGGTAATAGGTATAAGGTTTATTAAATTATTTATAATAAATTTGAGCAGTATCTACTGTTAGATTTGACGAATTTAAGTCAACCTAAAAATCGAAGGACTTTATTAATATATATTTTTATTGATTATTAATGTATCATTGTTTTTTTAAGATAAATATTTTTCTTCTACTGACACTATTTGAAAACATCCCGAAATCAAATTTTGTCTATTATCCTTGTGAACTGCCATTGTAATTTGTATCAAATTAGAGATCTTTTTTGTTTTATTTTCAATTATTTGATATTAATTTTAAAATAGCTTCTAAGATCGTATGTGCAGTGTTGAATTTCTGTTGTTAACAGGATCGTAGATATTATTTACTCGCGCCTTGTTATATGCAACAATTTTTACTTCTACAATTGTTTTTAAATAAATGATATGAAACGAATAAAGTTCGATATTCTTATATCGTATACACATTCTTAAAAGCATATTATGCATCTAAAGTCTTGTTTATTCTCCATAGACCAAAATATTATTAATTAATTAATTGTTATTAATATTATAACTTTTGTTACTAGAGTTATGTTTTTTTTAATTCAACTACAAGTTATTCTATTTTATCCCATACAATTTTTAAATACGATTTACAATATATATATATTGTAATTATTATCTATATCTTTATCTATTTATTATATACTAATAATAAGCAAATTTTAAAAAATATTGATTAAATTAGGTAGTTAAATATTATTTTTATGGTTGTCCATTAAGCCCGTTTAAAACATTTTTAATTATGTTATATTTTATTATTATTTCATTTTAGTATACATAGCAATATGTTATAATATTTTAATAAATGCATTACATATTTATTATGTTTGTTATAATAGCTTTGTGTTAACGAAAAAAAAACTGTAAGTTGGTATTCTATTTTTAATCTATATTATATAGTTATCATTGAAGCGTGTATTTAATAATTATACAAAATAAATTAAAAATAATAAACACTCTAACAGCTTAAGTATCAACTTAATAACACTTTAATAGCAGTTTTAATTAGCTTCAAATATCATAAGTAAAAAAATAGATAAGCAAACTCTAAGCTTTCTTATTTAGTTATTCTTATTTATTTCTTATTTAGTTTCTTATTTCTTATTTATTTCTTATTTAGTTTATAATTTAGAATAGTTGTAGTTAACTTTTTTAGTTATTTTTAATTGTTAAAAAGACTAAAGTAAAAATACATAAAGCTTATAGATTATTTTGTATTTTGGTTTTCTTTAATATATATATAATAAATAGTCTATATAACTATAGCCGACGAACTTCGATCGTTGAAATTTTTCCTTTGGGCGGAGTTTTAATAATACTCCATCAAAGAAAGATGTCAAACGAACTTCAAACATCGGCAATAGTTATATAGACTACTTTTTAATAATAAAAAAAAAATAAAAACTAAAAATTATTAAAAAATTGTTTAAATGGAAAATCAATTATGTCTCTTAAGTTTTCGAATGTGTTCGGCTCTATCTAATAAATCCACAGCAATTTTTCCAATCCAGTATTCCAGTTTGTAAAATAAGAGTTACCTGGATATTCTAGTTTCCATCTAAAAGCATTTAGATGATGTATTATTAACTTCAAACACCTAATTTTGATAGCAAACCTTAGATTTAATATCAGTTGAATACAATTTTAGGCTATCCATATTTATTTATTAAGCTAATATTAGTTGCAGTCTGCTATTTCACTTACAGTTGCTTGTAACAGTGATGTTTTAATAAGTAAAGATGAATTATAGGATCCAATAAATTTCGTATTAATTTTAGGAACAAACCTTTACCGAGTTCACTTATTAATTATTTCGTTGTGAAACATAAAAGATTACAATGTTAATTTTTTCTTACCAACAAACTATTAAAAACTTAGAGGGAGTCGAATAGCAAAGAAAAGACAAGAACAAAAATTTAGTTAATATATTGAAAATTGGCTGAACACACAAAAAAGATTAAAAGAGAGTAAGAGAAATATTGAAATATTAAGCGTGTCACTGCAAGTGAATAATATATGGAAATTACCAAACATATATATTATTTTTTAAAAATTTAAATTCTTTTATAAAATATAAACAGTAATTAAGATCTAATATAATATTTCATTAATTTTATTTTTTTTACAGGTACGTAAATCAATATATATTCACATGTCTTTCTTAAAAAAAGTAGTAAGTATAACTAATATCCATTATTGTTATTATTCGCAGATATTCTCTAAGTGCTTACTTTCCAATACTTAATGTATATATATGTTATAAATATATTGATATTGATAATAGATATATATAGGTTAATAATAATTGATGTTACTAAGATCATGGTTTTTTAGCAATATCATTATCATGAGGCCATATAAAAAAGACTTATTAATATTACTGATACATAATATATGTCAAAAATATTATAACATAAATCTATGTATTTAATTTTTTTAGTTTATGTATAAGATGTTTTGTTATTTTTATTATTATGTTTTATTATTTAATAATGATTTAAACGAAACTTTTTAACTGCGTACTTTTCATGGAACTACGAAAGCATTATGTAGCCGTATCTATCAACTCAGTTTTTTTTGGATTATTTTTTGCATTTATCGTAGATAAAACATTTAAAGCAGAAAAATATTTACCATTTCAGAAAACATGAAAAAATATGAATAAAATTTATAAGTAAACCAACCGATGCTGTTTATTTACTTTACACTTTTTTTCCTCAATAAAGTATCTTTGCATTTGCGAGCAATCAGTAAAAAATTGCTATCAAACGCGACATAAAGCCAGCATTAATGCCGCCAGTGTTGCCACATTACTGCATTGTACGCATTTTATTAGTCATTCCATACAAAATGGCTGCAACATTGTTTCACTACATAAAGCATTCTGAAATGGATCCATGTTTCCAGGATTTGCTTAAATGTGCATTATTTTTTAACTGAAAAATTGCTATTCCTTTTTTGTTAAACTATCCTTTTTATTGTGCTCTCATTTTATCAGTGTTTCCGTAGAAACACTCGTTTTACTCCTTTTTGCGGAATGTATTTATTTCTTTTGAATGAATGTATTCATTTAACATTTATCGAAATTTTGTTTACTGAAATGTAGTTCAAAGAGTTTAAATATCACGTTTCAGATATTTTGTTAAATTCTTTGAACTACAAGTAAAATCAGAAAATCTTTTATTTTTTATAAATAAAAAAATGGTTGAGTTTTTGAAAGTAGCGCATATCTCTTTTATCACGGAAAAACTTTATTTCCTAACTACTGTCATTACCTCGCGGCTGTGGCTCTGAAGATGGGGACGAGGTCGTGTTCCATTTCATGTGTCAATGCCCATCTTTAGCTAGGAGAATATCAAAAATCTTCGAGGCCCCTTTTCTAATCGACCTGACCGAGCTGTTATCCTTAGCCAAATTCATTGAACTATCAGGTTCGTTTTTCTTTACCTAATGGTGGAGTTGTTTCCTTTTTCGGCATTGATCGTTTACTGATCTTTCAGTCTATATACGTACCAATGTTTGTGGTCCTTTGGTACAACAATAGGCCATTATTTGACCGAACACTCAGTGTGGAAATCGACAAAATACTTAAAGAAACCCATTACCTACACATCAACGCTCAAAGACAGCAATAGAAAATGGGTTAGAAGCAATGAAGAAAAAACCGAAGCTTTCGCAAATAACCTGACAAAAATCTTTCAGTCTAGTAATGTGCGTTGTGATGAATTACTGATAGTCACAGAGAGTAAAAACCAGCTAATCGATCGAATATCAAAATGCGAACTAAAATGAGCAATAAAAGACTTGAAAAATTGTTGATGCAATTCAATACACCAATAAATCTTAAATATATTCCTAGCCTATGGAATATTACAAATAAAAATGATTCCAAAACCAGGCA